ATGAATCACCGGGGCTCGCCTCGCCTCGCCGTGTCTTGTCGCCCCCTCGGCCGAGGTGACAGCTGTCAAGCGGCTGCTATACGCCGCGGTGTACGTCGTGTAGGAAGTGTACGCGTCCCCGCGTGAAATCCTCCCCCTCTCCTTCCTCGAAAATTGTGACCGAGCATTGTGGTCCTGCACTGGCGTAGACATCTGGAACATTCGTTTGTTTCCACGAATCTTACTTTGCGAATATGGAAGGGCGATTAATTTCGACTAACTTACTACATTTTTGAAACAGCTGTCATATTGTAATAAAGTATCATATATATATATAGCGGGGTATTTCAAAAGCTGGTATAAATTCAAGAAAAAAATTGGCGAAACGAGATCAAGAAATGGCGTTGAACTGCGATATACATACAATACGCATTACACGACATTCTTGTTCTTGCGTTCACGTTGCGAATACCTTGCATTCGATACCACGAATACCACGTTTCACTATTTAGCAATCGCGTAATTTTTTTTTTATATCAAACCACTGATCATAATTAACAGATATTATTGGACATTATAGACAGAATTTATGACAAAATTAGAAGTAGAAAATTAGAAAAATCATTCATAAGATTTACATAAAAAAAAAAATTAAATTCATTTTCACAATTTTTAAATTAAAAATCTGAATCCGATAAGTGAAATCAGTATAAAATCAAATGATGATGAAAATTGTTTTTACTGATATTTCTTTTTCAAATCCCTTTCACGTACCTTGCAGCAAGAAATTGTTACGCACTTCATCCTCGCGATACAACTTTGCATCCACTCGCTTCTCCCGCATTCCTATCGCAGGTTCACCGAGTATAGCACCGGTTCCCATGTCCGTATCTCGATCAGAAAAGGACTGTACGCGTTCCGTATCTATAGATCGATTTGCGTAGCGCACGATTACAAACTGAACCAAAAAGACTACATCGATGAAACTAGTTCTTACACGAGGAACAAGTAGAGGAAGAAGAAAAATAAGAATAAGAAGGAGGGAAAAGGTGAAAAATTTCCCAGGGCTCGTTAACCATCCACCTGTGTTCTCGCGCCATTGCGTGTACACGCACGTGCACGTGGTTCGCCTTGACCCGCGTGAGCCACCTCCGAGGGATGTTCGTCGATCGCCGGATCCATAACTCGAGAATCGAGATACTGGATGATCGTATTGTCCAGTGTTTTCCAATCTTTCTTGAATTATGACGCCTTTTTATTATATATAAATAACTTTTATCATATAAAGTAAAGAAAATTAGGAAAATTAGAAAAAAATTAACCTTTGAATTAGTCAAAGGATCATCTTGATATTCCTGTAAAATATATAATAACAATGTAATTATATCAAAATAAATTGTGCTAAAAGTCTAACATAATTAAAATAGTAATGATTTCTTTTTAAGGTTGAGAAAAGTTGAGAACTATTGCTGTAGTCGATCATAGTTCATCTTGCAATGACAAGTTTATTTTTAGAGCAGGAACGTCTCTATAATGTTAATCTAAAATCTTCTAATCTTCTTTAAACATTATATAAAAATCCTCACTAACTTTGATTACTCTTTAATAACTTTATTATAAATTTTATCACCATCTATGTACGATTCATCGTAAATTGCTCAACTAACAATAGTATTCTAACCTAAAATATCACTACTTACATATAATTTTAATCTCAGCTTCTAATATATTCTTCCTTCTATCTCCTCGGACAATCTTATTAAAAATTTCTGTCCGATAGAGCTGTAGTCACACTACGCTCTATTCCGTACGACAAAATACCGATAAAGTACCAGATTTAACACGGCGAAATGTCAAAGCTTCCCGTTATCGCGATCCCAGTTTCCGTGGAACAATGTACCATAAAGGCATTGCAGCAGCAGCAGGAGGCTAGTAGGACAGGTCAGGATACAGAAAACGATCGGACACGTCCACGGTTGGCTCGTAGGACAATCCGTTAGCCACATTGCCCCCCATCGAATCGTCCGTGATCCGAAACGTCCCTCGGATGTGCTCGACGCGACGGAACGAGTCTCTTTTCCCTTTGTACCGACAATGGCCGTTTTTACACGTGGCGCTGGCATCGTGACTGGCGTTAGGTGTTGCCGCGTCTATCACGGTCGCGTACACGCTGCCAGCCGGTAATTTAGCTGCGAGCCCGCGTCGATTTCTCTACCCGATAAAGCCACGCGAGAGAAAGAAGAGACAAGGGAGGATCGTTCTAGCGAATAATTCAGGGTCGAATCTATTTTCGAATTGACGGAGAGAAAGAGAGAGAGGAGAGGTTGTATCTGGACGTTTGAATCGAACGAGCGACGGACGATACTCGGCCACCATCGTTTCCAAACGATTCACGATAATGACAGAATCGTAACCAGAAGTGTTCCCCAGTTTCTTTTCGCGTGGCTATTGTTGGGTCATGGTTGGTGATTTTGATATTTGTGAACTGAAGAAAGCGATACCGTTGGTTATTTCTCTTTGTTCTTGGTTATGTGTGCAGTGTTGTCGGTGAAGATTCTAGATTTTTTTGTAATCTGATACATTTTAAAAATGGAAAAAAATGATGTATTGAGAATTTTTATAGTTTCTTTGTAGTGTAAAGATAGTAAAAATTTTATAGGTTATGTTAATTCATATAAGCTAATTTATGATAGGAAATAATAAATTGTTTGCAAGAAAATTGCAATTTTTAAAAGATAGGTTTAATAGGTTTATAGATTCATCGGTTATTATTAATAAATCATTGATCATCATCTTCCAAATGAATCCCCAGCGAAACGAAACAATAGAATCGTGCAGTGATCGTTTACAATTGGCAGCTGCACCCAGATGACCCTGCCACTCCGTAGAAAGCTACTATGTCATTTCATCACGAAACCCACTGCCTTTTGATCAACTGTTTCTCCGTGTCACCGTTGTATTGCTATGACCATTTCCGTTTACG